GGGGGGCCGGCTGGGTGCCACCTGCGCGCAGCCCACCCAGCCCCGTGTGCCCCTGGGGGGATGCCCCCTGGAAGGGCTGGCTCACCTGCCCCCCGTGTGTTGTGGGTGCAAGGTGCCCCCTTCATCCACCAGCCCCTCTGCCCCCCCCTCCCCTGGCACCCCAAAGGTACGCCCTGGCATAGGGCAGGGGGACACTGGTTTCTACTCTATGCCCCTCCACGGTCTCCTGTGCCCCATAGGGTATGGGTTTGGGGGTGCTTGAGGTGCAGGGGATGGAGGAGCAGGATACCCCAGAGGCTTCCTGTGGCAGCACTGGGGGGCAGCTGGGGCACCCACATGCCAGGTGCCACGTGTGGCATCGATGCCAAGGTGATGTCATGGGCATAGGTCCTTATTCCTGGTGGATGGCCCTGCCAGCACGCACCCCGGGCAGCCCCTGGTCAGTTGGGCACAGGCACAGCGGGGGTTACACCCCCCAGCAAAGGGCTTGCACCCAGGCACTGCCTGGGGCACGGGCAGAGCTGGAGCCCGAGAGGGGTGAGGGAGGGCAGCTCTGGGGGCACATTCCCCCATCCCCTGGCTGCGAGGCTCGAGAGCCCATCAGAAACCCATTAGTCTGCAGGGGTTATCTGGGACACCCCCTCCACTTCCCGCGATCAATGCCCCTGCCTGGCCCGTGGGCTCTGGGCTGCCCCCGGCCCCTGCCCGCCGGATAAGGCACCTCTGTTAATGGGCGACAGAGCAAACAGCCTGGTGCAGGCGGGTGATAGCAGCTGCCCTTTGCCCCAAGCTGGGGGGCAGGGACCGTCCCCCCAACCCCAGTGGGATCCGTCTGCTTTTGGGCCATATCAGAACCCTCACCTGCACACCCTGCCTGCCCTCCCCGTGCCCTCCGTGCCGGGCACAGCGCCTGGCACTGCATCCCCCAGGGATGCTCGCTGCTGGACCAAGAGTGGGCTGAGCTCATCCCGCCCCGGCCAGGCCCCGGAGATGGCACCATTAATGTGTAACCGCCGGGGAGCACGATAAGAGAGAGCTGGGCTTTATCGGGGCTGCCCGGTAGCAGGAGGGAGGGTGCTGGAGGCATCAGACTGTCACAGGAGGAGTGAGATTGCCTGGAGATAAATGCAGTTAGAAAATAACTAATCCGTGATGGATGGGCCATGGCAGGGCAGCCGGGGAGCCCAGCTAATTGCCATGGGAGCTGGGCTGGGGCCAGTGAGACCTGAGAGCTGGAGCAGGGAGGTGGAGGCACAGGGAGCCTGTGTGTGCGGGATGGAGCTGCCAGTGTGCGGGATGCACACCTTGTCCTGGGGGTGCACAGAGTCCCGGGGCTGTCCCCGCAGCCCCGCCAGCACTGATGCTGTCCTGCTCTTGGCCACAGACCAGTTCCTGGCTCTCAGCCCACCCTGTCCCCCAGTCCAGCCCCTAGCACCCACCGTCCCTCCCAGGAAGGTGCTGGGAGTGCCGAGCACCCTGCGCTGGCTGGCACTCCACCAGGTGAAGGTAAAGGGGCTGGCAGGGCTGGGGGACAGCGGGGGGAGTAAGGGGCTCCCTGCCAGCTGGCCTGGCCCCCCTGTCTGTCACGATGCCTTCATTAGAGCCACTGAGTCACCTCTTGGCAGCATTGCCACGCTGTGGGGAGCAGGGCTGGCACCAGGAGAGGGGTGTCCGACCCCTGCTCCTGCCCTGCCAGGTGTCCTGGCAGCCTTGTCCCTGTGCTGAGATCTTGCCTCTGCCCTTCGGGGGTCCCTGCTGCACCCCCATTGCTTCCTTAACCCTTCCCCACCCAGGCTGTCCCAGGGCTGGGGGAAGACATAGCCAGGGGAGGTAGATCTGGGCCGTACCCCAGGGAAAGGGATGGTCCCAGGGCGGCTGGAGCTGGCACCTTTCCCTGTGCCCCGTCTGCGCAGGCTGCTCTGGTGCCTGTGTCCCCATCCTGTGCCCGTGCAGCTCGCTGGGGGACTGACACTTGTGCCTGTCACTCCGAGGAGCGGGCTGTGCTGCCGCCTGTGTCACCTGTCACCGCAGCCAGCCCGGAAGCGGAGCCATGGGGGCTGCCCCCTCCACCATGGGGACCTCGGGGACGGCCAGCCAGGGTGGCATGGTAAGAGGACATCCCCTGGGGGTGCCCCTTGGCCACTCTGGGCCCTCCCCAGGGAGTTGTGCCTGGCTAGAGCACAGAGCGGGATACTCCCAGGAAAGGAGATGCTGAGCAGGGCCCTGGTCACCCCTTCCCGTCCCCTCCCGTCATATCCCCGCTTCATCTCCCGCCGTACCTCTGGGTGCTGCCGACCTTTTTCATGGGCAGAGATGTACCCCCTGGGGCTGAGTG